GCGAAGGAGTTGATGGACTTAATTAAATTACGGGATGTTAACTGCGATCTTATCAACATGTTAAGCCTGTGTTTGTATTTAGCGATTATTTTATTCTTAGTGTATTTCTGATCAATTTGATAAGTTTGTTCAAAGCCTAAATATTTGTATGTACAATTTTGTGTCATCGGTTCAATGGACTGTCCTGAATCTAGTATGTATGGGTTATGTTCAATATGCTGCCCTTTACAAAGGGTAAATGTTTTACATTTATCGATACCAAAGGTCATGCGTATGTCATCCGAAAAAGTTTGTGTGAGATCTGCAAGAGTGTGGAGTCCAGGTGTACTATTGCTGTACAGTTTGATGTCATCCATGAACATTAGATGAGTTAATTTGAGATCTGTGGAGTCATTATATTGTATTGTGAGGCCAGTTGTAGAAGAGTTTAGAAGGTTAGACAGGGGATTTAAAGCAAGGCAGAACCAAAGAGGGCTTAGAGCATCCCCCTGGAAAATTCCTCGTCTAATGGATATAGGGTCTGTTTCTATTAATTTTCCTACCTTTATTTTCGTGTTCCAATGTTTCATGGATTCTGTCAAGAATTGTATGATAGACGGATGGATTTTATAATGGTGTAATATGTAGACTAACCAACTGTGTGGGACTGAGTCAAACGCCTTCTGATAGTCGACGTACATAGTGCAGATATCGGTTTTTAATTTAACGTTGTGCTTCATAGCTATGGAATCTATTATCAATTGTTCTTTACACCCCTGGCTATATTTACGACATCCTTTTTGTTCCTCCGATAGAATGTTATTATGTGTAATGTGTTTGTATATTATTTCTGAGATGCAACCGGTAATTAATTTGTATATAGTTTGTAGACAAGTTATAGGTCTATATTTAGCTGGGTTAGCGTGGTCGGAGTCTTTGGGGATCATGTAAGTTAAACCTTGTGTAATGAATTTTGGTATTGACTGAGGGTTTTTGATAAAATTATTAATATGATTGTAGAGTGATGGGTGTAAATAAGTGAATTTTTTATAAAAGTAGTTATGAATTTTGTCAGTACCTGGGGCCTTCCAGTTATGCGCTTTCGTAATAACGCTGACAAACACTTCTAATGGGATTGCATCAAATAACATAACTGGTAAATTTTCTAGTTTTTGTTTGTCATCGTGTATCCACGTAGCGGCATAGTTGTGTTCTGATGCATTTGACCAAATATTGGACCAGTAAGTATAAAACTGTTCAGAGTTTGGACTAAGATTATTTGACGTCTGTTGTCGGGTTTGTGTGTTTGTTGTATCAGTAGCTAGGGTTCTATAAAACTGCCTTTCACTATTAGTGAATTGGGAGTTTTGATTTTTACGCTGAGTACACTCATAGTATCTACGGCGTCGGCTTGTTACTGCTGTGAGCTTTTGTTTTAAGCTATCCATAAACTGTTCGTTTGTTGTGTTTGGTTCCTCATAGCTAGAGTGTTTACTGTATTTATGTTTTATTCTTTCTATATGTGTGATTAAGTTTAGATTTCTATTTCCATTAATGTATTGTGTCATTCTGCCTATCTACGTAAATAATGGTTACTTTGCAATACTGTTAAAAGGGTCCCATTATTTAGTTATACGTCGACTCATACCATATACGGACACGATTACAAAATATATGAAGAATTTCAAATATAAATATTTAATAGCTTACCGTCATACATTTTGCATAAATCATAGTTTGGCACAGTAACATCATTGCGCTGAAGGACACTTTTAATAAACGTATTGGGTATTGCGTGTTTACAATTTTGTATAGGTTACGAATTGAATATACCCATTTTATGATCGTTAAAAACTAACGTAATTTATAAGTAAGAAACCAATCGTACATATATCCAACTAATAATGCTGTGGACAGAAATAGTCTGATGAATTTTTTTTATTATAATCGTTATGATGTCACAGGGGACATATTTTATACTATTTTTTTTTTAATGTTACCCCCACTATGACTTTCTCCTGTGTTGTGAGTGCGTTTACAAACATGAAAGTTCAGATACACATGCAAAACGGGTACTTAATTTTTCAGCTATATGGGGGTCATGTACCACAAATAGACCTCCTTCTTGAAATCCTTTCATTATCTATTAAGGAGTATTAAATCCTTTTTCATTGGTACTACATATATTCTATAAACCCTAACACTAACTAATCACATTGGTTTAACTACGTATGGGTATACAGGGTGTAAATGGCACGCTCCAGAAAAACGCGTAGGTACAGGTCAAAAACAAGTTTTATTTTCATAAAAGTATGGAATTAAATATTTCTTTTATTTATGTAGTAATAGTTGTAATTAGATCACTCAAAGCTGATGTTGCATGAAGAAAAATAATTTTACTATAAAACTATTTTTTTTTTGTCAGCGTTTTTCGGGAGCGTTACGTTTACTTACGCCCTGTACTTATGTATCAATTTAGTTAAGAAATCTGTAATTTTGTATTTATTGTTATCCCTTAGGAGTACAGTATAAGCACAGTACTACAGATGGTGGGTCGCGCCGGCAGACCGCAGTTCGACACTGAAGCCACCGCTGTCATCATGACACGCCTCGTCGACAAGGTCAGCCTATTTTAATTCTAATTATCTAGGGAAAAAAGGTTATTATTCTTTCCTGTCTTGAATTATTTTTGTCATAACGTGTTGTGTAACACTCACAAAACTATTAATTATATAGATAATTGATGAATAGGTACTTGAATCGTAGGGTGGTGAAGCCCTAACGGGTTGCCGGGGCTCCGGCTTGAAGAGCAGGAGTAGGAATGGGGTGGTTTTTAGTCAGTAAGAGTCTGCCACTCTCTCCCGCCTAACCCAAGGCGCGAGAAGTCATTGGAACATCCCCCCCCCCCCCTTAAAGAAAAATGGTAGTTATAAAAAAGATGTGTTTTTGATTAACTGCTTAGGTTTGATTTAAATACGTTATACGCCATGGGGGTCACCGGTGACCGACGTTAGTGAAGGATACGCCTTCAACAGTTTTTTATTGACAGTGAAAGGCTTTTAGGCACAGGTTTGACGCAAGGTTCTGCAATAGTACAACTGCACAAACATAATCTTAATCAAAATTCGAGTAGATAGGTGGTTATAGTTTAAATTCAAAGATAAGATAAGATAAGATAAGATAAGTCTTTATTTGCCTTAAACATTGATAGTATCTCCGGAAGGAGCGTGCCATTTACACCCTGTATACCCATACGTAGTTAAACCAATGTGATTAGTTAGTGTTAGGGTTTATAGAATATATGTAGTACCAATGAAAAAGGATTTAATACTCCTTAATAGATAATGAAAGGATTTCAAGAAGGAGGTCTATTTGTGGTACATGACCCCCATATAGCTGAAAAATTAAGTACCCGTTTTGCATGTGTATCTGAACTTTCATGTTTGTAAACGCACTCACAACACAGGAGAAAGTCATAGTGGGGGTAACATTAAAAAAAAAATAGTATAAAATAGGTCCCCTGTGAAATCATAACGATTATAATAAAAAAAAAACATCAGACTATTTCTGTCCACAGCATGCCATAAAAATAGATCACAACATACCCATGCAAGGTTTTATGTGGGTACTATGTCACTAGAAGGTGATGGCAATACAATGAGGGTTTAAGTTACGGTACTTCGTTGTATTACCTGATAAGCTCCATTGACATACTGCTGGGTGTTCTTAACGATGACTAGATGTGCAGGCAAATTAACGCCCATTGCTGAAACATTCAAAGAGGTATAAAAATCACTACTGTCTGTCCCTATGTTTGCTTAGATCTTTAAAACTACGCAACGGATTTTGATGCGGTTTGTTTAATAGATAGAGTGATTGTGAAGGAAGGTTCATGTATAATACATGCATATTGTACCCGTGCGAAGCCGGGGCGGGCCGCTAGTTATAGATAAAAAACTAAGTTATGGACAATTACCGTAAGCCGTGGAGACTTGTTGATATAATTTTATTAGTTCTAGATCTGTTAAAATATCAGAATATAATCTGAAAGAAAACTTACCCAAAGTAGTAGTGGTGATTAATATCGGTAGGTCTCTGTTCCTAAAAGCGAACTCAATGTTCTGTCTCTCCTCATACAACAAGCCTGCGTGATGACATCCTACACCGCTCATTACCAAGGCCTGTTCAAATAAAAAAATAACATTCCTGATTAGTATTTTGTGGTCTCATGCTCTTAAAGGATACGTCCTTTCTGTCTGACTGACTGATACTACCAGTAGGTAGTTGGTATGTTGTACCGTCTTTACCATAAGGACACTCGGGGCCCGTGCCCAGGGCCATCCTCAAAGGGCCCCGAATTAAGGACCGACCATTTTTTTCATGTATTTAGTGGGCCGACGTTTGACCACTATCTCGCCTGGTGATAAGCGATGATGATGATGATCTACGATGGAGCTCGTCGTCCCATAAGCAACCTATTCACTCGAGACTTGTAGACTCCCAGTTTATACCCTTCAGGAAATACAGACTATGGCAAAGAATTCCACTCTTTACCAGCACGGACAAGGAAGCTTGATGCGAAGCGCTTCGTGCGTGTGGGTGGGATATCTACCATGAATCGGTGACGCTTCGCCGGACGGACACCCGCTGCCCGGGTACGATTCCCGCACGGAGCAAATATCTTAGTGTGATCCACAAATTGTTGTTTCAGGTCTGGGTGTTATGTGTATGTGACCTTGTATGTTTGTAAATGCATCCACGATACAGGAGAAAATTCTATTGTGGTGCAACGTTAAAAAAACATTCCAAAAAGGCTCCGAATTATTGTATGCTTATGGGCCCCAGCGTAATCTAAGATGACCCTGCTAGTACCTACCTACTATTCCGAATTTAAAAAGTCGAAAACCCCGTGCCCCATAACCGAACGTGTCAGGAATAGAAACCAAGATGACTCCTTGCTTAACCAGTAGGGCAATTGCGACCACATAATCTAAGTAAGTTAATTCAAAAACATAAATATATTAATTCACCTGTAATGTCTTGTTCTTAATTGTAGAAGCTAGGGCAGTTAGCTTCGCCTTTTGTTCCGCGTTGAAGCTAACTGTCAACTCACGGGACAGAGTCTCCGCCGTCAATATTACACTCTTACGAGTATTGCAGAATATCTGCCAGAACAAAGTAATATTATGTTACCAACATGGTGCCCAAGTAAGCAAATAAGTGAGTGAAGCCCAATTACCCCCCCCCCCCTCCCTTTTCCCAATCCATGAATCTCCAACAATCCTCAAATTCCTAATCCCAAAAGGCCGGTAACGCACTTGTAACGCCTCTGGTGGTCCAGATGTCCATGGGCGACGCCGATTGCTTATCATCAAGTGATACGGCTGCTCGTTCACCGGCTTATACAATAAAAAAAATCTATAAAAAAAAACTATATCTACCATAGACAGATGATGTCTACAGTAGATATAGATGATGATCTACTGTAGACTAAAAAATATTTTTTAATAAACTTACCAAAGTAGGTTTTCCGCAATGGTATTTCTGTATAATGGGCCACAACTTGTAATTAAGTATGATATCGAACTTGAATATACTGGTGCCTTCAGCACAGGGATACCCTTCCACAATACGCTTCAACTTCACAGGACGACACTCGTCTCCGAACCTGAGATCAAACATGTTTGTTGTAGAGGCACTTTCATCACCTTTCATGCCTCCAACTATATAGCTTCTGACAGAAGCCTGTTAGAAGCCATTTCCATATAGGCTGTTTTCTTATAGGGCAGCCCATATCAAAAAGAGATACGACAAAAAGGTCACTCAACCGAAACTTTATTATGGAGACACATGTCCATAACCAGACTAAAAACTTAAAACTACATCATCAGATCATACGAAATCTTTAACCATTACGGAATAAAGATATAGTAGATCTAATTTTTTTTATAATAACTATTGTGAAACATACCTACTAAATTAACTAAAAATATCTAAATATACTGAGAAAAGCTCTACTAGTTTCGAACCACAGAGGGGTTCTTCCTAATGACCAGCGTGCGCGGTCTCGGTATATTCACGTGAATAACCGATTTTTAATTAAAGTAGATCGACTTACTTATAAAACACAGCAGGTTTGTCACTAGTTCCCAGCCAAGAAGCGACATCTTCAGGGTTGCTGACCGTAGCAGACACTGCGACGAACCGTATCCTTGGGGGTGATTTGTTGGATAATGTTTCACCCTGTATCTCTTTTTGAAGCTGTTCTATACGATGGACTGATTGGGCTGAACTCTAGAAAATTTATCGAAATAATCAATTTCAATAACATAACATCACGCCTTTTATCCCCAAAGGGGTAGGAAGAGGTGCATATTATACCACTGTACAATGTAACACCCACTTTTCACTATTTTTGTTATGAGTCCCATGTAATAGGGTGAGCCTATTGCCGTGCTCCGTGCTACTACTGAGAATATTTAAAAACCCAGTAATACTTTGCCCGACCCGGGAATCGAACCCGAGACCCCTTGCCCGGCTGTCGCACTTACGACCACTCGGCCACCGAGGTAGTCAATTTCAATCATTTTGGAAATAACTGTCTTTTGTTGTTTTTGCTTTGCAGTCAGAATGAGACGATCTCCTCATTGCCTCTGATTATTCAATGGTTCATTATTCCTAAATAAAAAATATATAGAAAATGTTGACATACTTTAGAACATTAGATTTAATTACATAACATCACGCCTTTTATCCCCGAAAGGGTAGGCAGAGGTGCACATTTAATGCCACTGTCCAATGTTACACCCACTTTTCACTATTTATGTTATGAGTCCCATGTAATAGGTTCAATTAATTCCATTTAATAAAGGCACCTACCTGGTAGGTGATGGTTCTGATTGATAAAAATCCTTACTTATATATATTATAAATCGGAAAGTGAGTTTGTTTGTTCCGATTTCACGCCGTAACGACTAAACCGAATGCTTTGAATTTTTGCAGACGTAAAGTTAGAAGTCTGGATTAAATAATAGGGTACTTTTTATCGCGGAAAAATTTGATATTCCCGAGGGAAAACAAAAGTATTGGTATAGATGGCGCTGTATGTATTGGTATATGTCACATAGACTACTTCTTTATCCTTTTGTGACGCGAGCGAAGCCGCGGGTAAAAGCTAGTGGTAAATAAAATCAAACACAAAAGCTTACCTCAATAGTCTTCATACGGCTAACAACAGCTTCCAACACAGGTCCTCTGGTCTCATCGTTCAGTATATGGACCTCATCGATCAGGAACAACTTGATCACCTCGACCAAACCGCGGTGATCTCGCCACCGACGTGTCAACATGTCCCATTTCTCAGGAGTCGTTATTATTATTCTGCGAAGTACCAATATAGTTTAAAGAACTATTTTTTTTACCTTTCAGTAGAGTATTTTTAGTACAACTATGTTATATGTGTATAAGGATGGTGACTAGTTAGAAGCCCCAAAAATTTATGGACAAAAATGGTAGATATACTCAAAAATGTGCTCTCTTTCCTCGACGTTTTCCGTGTTTCTGGAGGGAGGCAGTTAATCTGTATCTGATACTAATTTCCTTCAAAAGGCTTTTTACTTAAACAAAAATCACCCTGGTGGCCACGCTCAACACCTGAAGAGGCATCTGGACCTCTAAAAGAGACCTGCTCTGGAGCCCCCACGGTTCTATTAATTTCTGACACCAACTAGCTAGGGAGTTGGGGAGAGGCCGAGAATAAGAATTTAGGTACATACCTAAGTAGGTACTGCAAAGATCTGAGAGCTTAGAGAAAAACTTACTTGTAAGGTTTAAGCTGTGTGAAATCTACGTCAGTGTCGCCAGTAACTTCGATACACATTAAACCAAGCTTCGTGAACTTTGAGTACCATTCTGTTAATCTTTCAGTGCATAGCGCTTTCACTGGTGCCACTGAAAAGGACACTTTAATACTGACCAAGCAAGGATTAAAATTAATAGTAGATATTATATTAATTAAAGGCGCCTGTAGCTAAATTATTAGCTTGACGTAGTTATGATATTGCTTATCAGATTTAATTTTACCTATTTACAATTTTAAGGTACATGTAAGTCAAAGTCAAAGTCAAAATCATTTATTTCAATTAGGCCAGAATGGCACTTTTGAACGTCACGTACAATGGAATATACTGGGAAACAACAAGGTGCTCAGAATCCCAATTATAAAGGTAGGTCATAGTGTTTTAAAATTCCTATTTAAAAATAAAATGATGTAATAAAAGTCTTTAGTACTTACTATAAATAATTTTGAAATCTTCAGTGCATTGTTTGTCCTCTAGTTCCATCAAAAGCTGCACTATTGCCATTTCAAAGACAACGGTCTTCCCTGATCCAGTCGGTGCACATACAACTATAGACTTGTCTAACAGGCAAGGTAAGGATAAGAATTTACTTTTTAATTTAGAAAATACATCTCATAATCTAATAACATAACATCACGCCTTTTATCCCCAAAAGCAGAGGTGCACGTTATGCCACTGTACAATGTAACATCCACTTTTCACTATTTATGTTATGAGTCCCATGTAACAGGGGGTGAACCTATTGCCATATACCGGGCACATTTCCAGACTCTCTGCTACTGAGATTTTTAAAAACCCAGTAATACTTTGCCCGACCCGGGAATCGAACCTGAGACCCTTGCCCGGCAGTCACACTTGGGACCACTCGGCCAACCAGGCAGTCTATAATGTTAACAATATAAATGTTAACTAAATAATCTAATAATGTTAACTAAAATAAGACAACTGCATATAAAAACAATAGGGAAGAAAAGGTTTGAAGTTTAATAAATATTATTGGGGTAGTAAGCTTGATGTGTTAACATGTGTGCCTAGAAAAATCTTTATATTTGTGTGTGTGTGTGTGTGTGTGTGTCAAGTGTGCATAATTTAGATCCTCAGATTTTATTAGGTATGTACCTAACAGTATACTTACTGTTCAACTAAATAAAATTCTGTTAAAAATACAAATAAATAATGTGTAACATTTTACCTGAATATAGTGCATCTTCTATAACTCTAGACTGCACTAAGTTGAAATATGGATACGAAAATACGTCCCGGTATTTAGGGTCTGCAAAAAAATTGTTATAATGACTCAACTTCTGTAGGTGCCTCCTCCAAAGTAACCTATGTAGATAACTTATGTAGAAAACTTATTTAAGCTACATATAAAACGTAGGTATGTTAAGTATATAGAAGACTTCGTATAAGGAGTAAGGAGGTATAAGCATTTTACAACGTCAAATAAAAATCTAAAACTTACCTATTTCCTCCACACTCCTGAATTGTCCATGCTGTCCAGTACATTTAGAAGGGCGTCCTGTAACTCCAACATTGATATTCGTAGTTTTAATAGGATTATTATTGACAGACACAGGGAAACCTCTACTTTCAGCAGAAGACGGCAAAGACAACGGCTGGGAGTTACCAATTTCATCGCCCAGAACATCTGTAAAGCTTTCACTGAAAAAAATATTTTACATGACATAAAACTAACTTTTTAGACACAGAAAAATAAACAGAACCACGGAACTAGACTTACAGAGTATTAGTCATTGTTAATATTTTATCAATAAACTTTAAATAACAAACATCTTTTTGTTAATGGAAACTTTTATAAATCCCGCCAAAAACATTAAGCTGTTTAAATGACAGATGACAGTGAGGTGCACAGACTACTTAGGTGAGGTGAGGTAAAAAAGGATTAAGTGAGGTGACAGATAAAAATAAAGGCGGGTACACATTTTATGGTTTATTGCATTGTTATAAATGTGAGTTTGATTGTATATAAATTCGCAGTATTCACAGCTTTCCTTTATAATATTTTTACTGACTTGAAATAAGGAGGAGGTACTAATTTTTTTTTTTTTTGACTGCATGGTTGAAGCAGTGCCGCGGTGGCTGGGTAAACGGCTGCCGCCTAACGTGTCGCGAGTTCGATTCTCGCACGGAACTACTCTTTATGTGATCTTTATTGATTGTTGTTCTGGGTCTGGTTGATCACAACCTATTGATGATTGATGTTGATCTATGTGAAATTATATTATGTTTGCAATCGCACCCACGACACAGGAGAAAATCCTAGTGTGGGGCAAAGTTATTACTTTTAAAATATAATATTCAAAGTCAAAGTCAAAGCATTTATTGCAATTAAACCATAATTTAATACCTTTGAAACGCCAGAAAATACAAAATAAATAATAGTCTGTTATAATTCAAATACTTCAGACATTTGATTTCGACGTTAATATATTCGATAAGGGCAGGCACACATACAACGTTATTGTGGGTTCCAAAAATGTTTTTAGATACGTTCAATAATAGTTTGTAATGTTTTATACACTCTTTTCATGTTATTACAAAACAGTGACAGACTAAATAACTGAAAATACCAAGATAATACATTCAGCGCACACGCAGAGTAAAGGAAACACTTTAGACCTGTCTCAATCATCTGTTTGTCAATTGTCAAATCTCAGCACCAGTCAACACTGTCAAAAGTGTCAAACAAGTTACCTACGACTGAGGATTACGAGGAAATCCGATGAACAAGTTTAGTAGACAAGACAACAATATTTTTGTGACTTTTTCCTCCTATACTTTTATTTTGATCTTTGAAGTGTCCGATGAAATTATATTTGTTTAAGTGCCTTCAATTGTTGTAATTACGAAACTAGACGATAATAGTGTACAAATATGTAAGTTATAATCATCAAAATATTAAAATATTACGAAATATTTCGTTGTAGAAGTTAGGTATACCTTATTGACCAACTAATTACTTTTACAGGGAAACCCAAAGCATGTATCCTGATCCTGACACGATCACTATTGACACACTCGTATTGGAGGAAATGGTAAAGCAAGAATGGACCAAAGAAATAACGGAATTGCATTCTTTGAGTAAAAAATCTTACAATCTTCATGCTGATTTGTTATACTATCGTCACGCAACTTCTGCAATGGGTTCTTCATGCTATGAGCTATGGAAGAGGATACTAACTCAAGTTGGTGGTAGTCCCAACACATGGCGAGAACTTGGCCTTCTATTAGGGATTGAAACTAATAAACTAAACGTGAGTTTAATTTTAATTACTTTGTCATCTAAGTGAACTCTTGTTATACCAGATTGATAATATTGCATACAATTTTTTTCAGTATATAATGTACTCGGTTCAAGAGGATCACGTTGACATGGTGTTAAAAGTATTTAGACAAAATGAAAACGCAACTATTGACAAAATCATAGATGCCTTCATTAAGATGAAGCGGTATGATATTTTAAAATCATTAGAAGAACCTCTTTGCAAAATAGCTCAGTTCTTCAATAAGGATGATAGTGGTTATCAAAGCAAAAGTTCTGGGCAGAGAGAAGTGGTTAGACCAAAAAATATTCCCAATAATTTGCCAGCAGCGCTCAGCAACAAGGTGGTCTCTCAAGATAAGGAACCAAAGAAACCAAAACAACCAGCTTTGAAGATACCTTCTACAGCAAATGAGCCTATAGTTAATGATAGCCCAATACTTTTCTTGACTTACACTCAAGATGGTTTCCCAACAGCAGTGAATATACAAGAATATGTTGAAAACTGGACTGAACTACCGAATGTTCAAGTCATTACTTTGAACAATAAGAGGGAAGAACTGTACCAAAATCCAGAGAAATTTATTAGGGAATATTTTGAAAAAGTGAGTATATCTAATAATGTAACACAACTTTATTGAGACATTGAGATTGAATAGTTCATGATTTAATTTTATTTTATTTCATTTACAGGCTGATATCATCATTCCCATCATAACATCTGGCTACTTGGATGAAATCCAGTCCCATAATCCAACCGTTCTTAATACCTCTGATAACTTAGACACTAAATATGTTAATTTTATTTATAACCTTATTGTAAACAACTACATTCATGCCTCGGGCTGCCTCAATAAGAAAGTAAGGAGTGTGCTGCCACAAAATGCCAATGTTGATCTATTTAGACGTATCACAATGTATCCAGACTTGATGCCATGGACATATGAGACCAATTTTGATACACAATTCCAAGCTTTCTTAAAATATCAACAACAGTAAGTGTTTCGATAGTGCCTTAATGTATTTTTATACATGCCATTTATACATAAATAAATTATTTTAACATATAAATAATGATTATAGTATGTTTTATTTATATTGTACCTGAAAACGCAAATATGAAATCAAATAAAGGTTTACATTTTTACTAATTAAAGTTTAATAATTGTTTTCTGCTTACAGTACAAACAAATAGAAAAATACACATTACAGGAAATGCAATTCTTAATGCTAAGTGAACTTTCAAACTCAAATAATAAAATGTAAATTGTACCAAAAAAATCAAAGTTATAAAATAAAACAAGAAAGGTTACTCAACTAACATGTGTTAGTGTTCACTGCCCAAACATAAGGTAATAAATTAATTAAGCAATGCATTTAATGCCACCTTATATTAGTATTATTACATAGGTGCATAAATTATAAGGGCAGGTTCGTTTAAGTCCAGTTTCACACAAAAATTACTATGTAAACAACAAACATTATGATTAAATTGCACACTATGCAAATATCAACCAACATTATGATTTATAAAAGTTCATTGGACGTGGTATGTTTCTCCAACTATTTGGCATGAAGTTAGAACACAGGACAGAGATGGCAAAGCTTAAAACTGTTCATTATGTTCTTATTAGTAGTTTAGAAGCAACAAAGCTAATGGGTTGCTCATGGTCAGCGGCACCTTAGCCTAAATACATCTAAAACACCAAAGACATCTATGTATAACTTTGTTGTGGGCTATTTATTTAGTTATTAGTGACATGCCCAGAATATTGCAGCGTGCCATCGATGGCAATGAGCCATTGGTTGCCATCCCTGACCTAGGTCTTTAGGACTCTATTATTGGTTGGCAGTCTTGGTCTCCACATCATCAGTTGTTTCATCAGCAGTGCTGACATCATTGACATCAATGCCAGTGTCGTTGTTAGAGTTATTGGCCAGTTCCTCCTGTAATTAAAATGGTAATTAAATAATTAGTGATTATTTAATAACCTGGAGAATTTTACATTAAGACTTATTATGATGAAACCATTAATGTACAAGTTTAGCTAGGTCTTTGAACTGTTATTAACTATAATAGAGTGCTACATTTGCTGGTTTTATTACACAGTCTAATAGAGGTTGAGTTTAAGAAATTTGAGTAATGTCCTCTCTTTGGTGTAGTAAGGAAATCCAGCCTGGTTGTGAATAAAAAAAGTAAATACTTTAAAACCTTCCTCAGGAAATAACTATCTACCGGTGAAAACTGTACAGAATCTGTCTAGCAGTTATTGAGTTTATCTGGTTCATACAGGCATACATGATTGAGGGCTCCTTTTTATAATATGTAAAGAAAGCTTACCTTGATAACTTCAACAAAGCTGTTAGCCTCGTCCAGCATCTGTTTGAAGAGAGTGTTTTCTTCCTTAAGATCTTCAATTATTTTTCTTAATTTTTCATTTTCATCTAATGCTTCTTGTAATGCAACTCTGGAATTAAATTTAAAAAAAAATTCAGACATATTTTACAAGGAAATATAGTATGTACCAGGTTTGGATTCAATTCAAAGTTGAAGATACTGGATTGCTTTCTTCTAAATCTTAAATATAGGAGGCATATGCAGCAGTAGATGGTTACAGACTGTTTAAGTGACGACAAGATAACACACTATTCTCAAAAGTCAGGTCAGAAAGCAATCAGTTACTTACATCTTAATTTAAATACAAATTCTTAAAATCAAAGACAAAAACTAAGTAATATCTGAATAACTATATACTCACTGGCGCTTCTCAGCAAGAAGTTGCCAATATTTTTCTGATGGACCTTCAGGATTTGTCAAATCATCAACAGTTATTGTTGTATCCAAGTTTGCTTGAGTTTCTTTGGTAGACAAATTCTTTCTTTTAACCTCAACATCACTGAAATCAAAACAAATGTATCAATTACTTTCAATTGCTAACTCGTTCTATGTTAGTAAATAGAAAAAGTACATACACAGGGGACTCCTGACTCAGTTGATGCTTCAAACTTTTTGATGGCCTACCCACTAAGTTTTCTCGATCTGAAGCCGTATGTTGAAGTGTTTTGAGGGATTTCCTTGTGACTCTTGAAGTCTCCTTTAAAATACAAGATATATCATAATACCACACAATAGGTTTCTCTAAATCATAAGAAATCCATTAGCGGTTATTTGTAACCAACGCCATAACATCAAAACTTCACTTACCTGTTGTTCTTGAGTGCTCATGATGATGTTCTTTTAATACTGCCGGTTTTAGCAATTGGAGTTTAATAATCTTCAATAACAAAAACTGAACCGATGATATTTAGATACTATAATGTTATTTAGTTTATTTACTAGTTCACAAAACAAATCACGCGCATTGCTCGACAACGACTAAGTGATTTGACACTAATGACACCAACTTTCGAGTTTGACAACACGTTTCCCGCCATTTGTAAGATGCGTTCATTATAAGTAAAATTGAAAGCTACTAATTCTAAAAACAAAAAATTTTACAATGTTTAAATAATGTCAATAGCCTAATGAAATGGACTTAATTTTGAGTAAATATAATTTGAACCATAATTTTCTTGAATCATACTTTTAACCATTTCATAACATTTGTATGCGATGTTTATGATCTGTGAAAATAATTGACAGTTTGAAACTATACTACAAGACATTGACAGATACTTCTTCTGTCAGTCATTTATAGGCGCTTGGTGGGAGATGTTTTGTGAGAGTGAAATTAAAATAAGAAAATAATCAATTCTTTATTTATATAACACTTTAACAAAATAACAGTGTATAACTGTATGCTAAATAATCGTAAAAGCTTTTTAAGTGTACCAATATGGTGTAATATTAAATTACTGTGGAATATACCTAATTAATTTATTCGAATCCTATCTTATCTATCTATACCTGAAGTGGGTTTTTATCTTTTGGTGTTAGTTTATAGATACCAGTGTCCTAAGGATAGTTAGTGTAGCTGGAAGAAAGGAAAATGGATACATTAAAGTGAGTAGAGCATATTATATTATGTATGTGTGTATGTATCAAGGTATAAGGTTTTTACTAAGTACTAGTCCATTTGCGTCATAAGGAGTCAAGGTCAAACGTTTGTTATTCTTGACTTTTCATGGCTACACTAATTAATTATGAAATACGTATTTCAGATTTTATTTTGTCACCTGGAATGTGGCTACCAAGAATCCAGGGCAGGATCTAAATGCTCTATTGGACTTTCCATCACAGTTCAATAAAAATAAACCATTACCAGACTTTTTTGTGATTGGGTAAGTAGTTATGTAGTTCATGAGTTATGTTCTTGCATAATCTGTGCTTGTATCCTACTTATTTCTGGGTCAATGTGATACTATGCCAGATGCAATAATTTTATGTTTATTATGTGTTCTGTTTGTTTTAAATAAGTGATTGAGGCGAAAAATGAAATTTCAGGCTGAATGAATATTCAGTAAGAAAATATTCTTAGGGTATTTTAGTAAAACTGACATATGTGATATTTATATGTATTTATTCTTAGGGTTGAATTTGTCCTAAAACTGTATATATATGACTTTAGTGACCTACTTTGATGATGAATAAAATAATAAATTTCATATTAATCATGTAATTACATATATGATAGTGAAGAGTTGGTCACAATCAGTTATAAGGAAATAATCCTTTATCTTTGATGATAAAACAACAATAACAACAAATTAATATTTTTATTTTACTAATAATTACCTTTGATAAAATGTTGAATAGAAAAAAGTTTCAACACCTTGTATCAATAGTGATGTCACTAATAACTAATAAGTACTTACATCCTATAGTTAATAACAGCACAAAAACAGTATTATCATAAAATTACCTCGTAGTAACATTTTTTTAGTATATTTTACGTATTTTGCAATAGAACTGAAGGTTAAGAATATATTAATAGCTGTTTCTTACAAACAGTAAGTTTTTTCTTTTATAAATACTGCTTTTTATTTAAAAAAAAACCTATTAATTATTCAGTTACCTATTAATTATGGTAATTGAACTTGATGTCAATTCAATAAGTATGTGAAAATAAGAAAACATATCACATGTTAAATGATTTAATGATATTTGTTAAATAAAATGAATTTTCACATTAAAAATATCATGGTAACATAAACAGATGTTAAAAACAAAAACATCTATTCTTAAAACATCTTTGCATTTGGACTGACTTTTTCTTTTTATTTAAGAACCACTCAATAAACATCAGTTTCAATGACAAACATAATGTGTCTATGCTTTTTTAACTTTTTAAATTTTATTACAGGCTGCAAGAAGTAAAATCTCAGCCACAGAATATGGTTATGGACTCTTTGTTTACTGATGCCTGGACATCCTCTTTTAACAAAATTCTTTGCCGACAAGGGTTTATTATTGCCAAGAGTACCAGGTTACAGGGTTTACTCCTGCTGGTGTATACTCAGATGAAGCATGTCACACATTTGAGGGATATTGAAGCTCAGTACACCAAGACTGGACTTGGAGGCATGTGGGTGAGTGAATTTAATTAACTACTTTCTTTTTGTACCCTTACATATTATTAAGGAATTGTATGGCATAGCTGACTACTATTTGTGATACATTTCAAATGTAAGAGATAAGATATTTTTCTACTGATTGTGTGGTAGGTAGTATTTTTGCCAGTTTTCTTGCTCATTCCTTTTTTGGTTTATAAAATTTTTAACAGGTATTTAGAACTAAGATTCTAACTAAAATTGAGCTTGCACTTGAGATTATGAATGAATTGTTCTATATTCATCTTTTTTGAATATCATAGTCAACAATAAATACGTCATGGTACTGTGTAAAGTCCTAGAGTACTAAATCATGGTTGCATTCAGGTTAAAGTCATTTATAATCTATGTAAATGCCCCATTATTCATCCATTATTTCAGCCAGTGAATTATTTCTTTAATGAATTAGTGTGTTTTCATAAGAAATTGACAATTGAGGTCACCCTTAAATGAGGTTGCATGACTTTGCAATAAGACCTTGCTCCAGGAGTTAGCTGTACCCAGTCATGTAGGCCTATATTCCTGGTAAACACTGTTCATGCTTAAGCAGGGACTTTACATTTTACTTTACAATCACTCAGTTGTTACTCACAAATCTTCGTAATTAAACTAACATGTAGAATGGAACTAATAGGTACCTACCTACTATTAGGCATTCTTACAATTGCTTGTAATCTTTAAAAGCGGTTTACTAAACTGTAATTTCTTTTTTTAAATGTGTGATTCTGTGCCATATATTTTTGGGAAGGCTCTCATTCTTGTGGGGACTTCAACCACTACCGGCGTAAAGGCGCGTAATCTTTGGTTATCCTTTTAATCTTATTATAGTATTATAAACGCGAGTTTGTGAATTTGTATGTTTTTCACTCAATCACAGGATGAAATTTCGTTCAAGGGTAGATTATAGTCTAGAATTACACACAGGCTATTTTTTATTATACGGTAACGCGAATGATGTCGCTGGCAGAAGTTAGTTATTAATACTTTTTTCGAACTGTCAAAAACGACTGTTTTCTATGACTTTTGTACGAGATTGTGAAAATTATTTTTGAATGCACCCAATGGAAAGTACCTACCTAATTGTAAAAAAAAGATAAAAAGCTAAAAAAAGATAGATAGTTCTGCCAATATTTCGCTTTCATCCCATTGTTTCTTTCTCTCTACTTACCCAATTGGTGGCAGATTAACGTCACAATGAGTATGTATTTACATTAATCATAGACATCGCGTAAATACATTAGAAAATAAAAACGATTGAAACAGTTGAACACATAAAAAAATCAATTTAATTCTTTTATTATGGATATCTAAACAATTGATATAGTTTTTATAGGCTTTTATAGGCTAGATAAGACAAAAAATCACGATAAGTGGTTGCATGTGTGACTGAAATAAAATATTATTTGTTTTATTATTTGCACAACTAATGCTATGATTATTGTATCCTATTAAAGTTAATCGATGGGGCTTGTTCTATGAATTTCGGACGTAGGTAGGTACATATTGTTATCATGCCTTTATGTGCTTGCTCTCAATTTGAAGTAGGCTGTCGAGTTACCACTCGACAGCTTTAATTCGGATGCCCTAATATGAATAAACATGAAACGAGACCAGACCGGTTATAGCATTGAGTAAATGCTTCAAATTAATTACCTACCTACTTACTTATATTTTTTAAATGCACTTTGCTGTGACATATTGCCAGTGCAGACGACCGGTATTAGACTATCCGTACCGGTAACCTGCTTCATTATGCAAACTCCTCTAAGCGTCATTATAAAAAGTAAATTTCCCTGAGATCGTAAGTAATCATCATAAACCTTTGATCACGACAAAAACTTCATGATTAATGTCGTAAAAAACAGATGTAGGTATGTTGTACATAACAGCAGTAATTTATTGTGTTGATTGCCTGGCTAAATACGCACTTATGTAATTACAAAAATCACACACGATCGCGAAGAAATATCTTTACATTCTGATTACAATTTAGTTGCGCATAAAGGTCATAGTCGTGTGTCAGTTTTGTCGTTTTTTTGCCGAAAATCTTGGAGATTCTTTATTTAACGTAAGTATAGGTAAGTTAGCGTTGTTGTGTCGTGATTATGAATTTATCTATTGTATGATAAGTTGAAAATATCGAAATAGATCACATCGCTAGATTGTTATCGGGTAAATGAACCGATTGAAGGACATGTTAATAGTTCTGTGTTCGATAAGGTTTTATAGTCTTCCTTTTGCTTGAATATCACCATTGATGATAAGACATTAAATAGTAGGTCTCAGGGTCGCACTGCACTAGAAGAAGGCTTTGCGAGCTCATACTAGACAAAATGCGGAGAAGCTTTGTTCTTATTTTTCGTTTCACATTCCCATTATTATCATTCAACGAAATTTACCATACATATAGGTGCCTCCGATTTCAAGTTTGGAGGGAAATGACACAACCATTCCAATTTTCCCTATTCGTGGGCAGACATGCAGTCGAGGATGGGAATAGAACTTCCCATCTTCCTCCAACTACAAGTCTGGGGTAAGATGCCACGAAAAGTCCTATTTTCACTATTTTGGGGAAAAAACAATACTACCTATTGAAACTTCTGTATTCTTATAGCACTTAATTATAAAACACCATTGTTTCAGGGTAACAAAGGGGCTGTTAGTATAAGGTTCAACATATACGGGGTATCGGTGTGCCTTGTAAATTCCCACCTGACTGCGCACGAGCACCTGTTGGCCGATCGCATCAATGATTACAACACCATAATCAAACAACACATGTACCATGTCACCGAGACTACTAACATTTTGTACCATGAGTAAGTACCTACATATTTGTATGTTTTAATTTATCTATTAACTCGTCGAGTACCGGTTTTATAGACACAATTAAAGAACAATAGGTCGCGGTCACCGGTGACCGCTTGGTGTTTGACAGATTAAGTATGTATTATTTTTATCCTGATGACTGCCTCGTCGGCCGAGTGGTCGCAAGTCGGGTCTCGGGTTCGATTCGGGTCGGGCAAAGTATTACTGGGTTTTTAAAAATCTCAGTAGGTAGTAGCACGGAGTCTGGAAATGTGCCCGGTATATGGCAATAGGCTGAAGGTGAAAAGTGGGTGTTACATTGTAAGTACAGTGGCATTAAGCATCGTAATGTGCGCCTCTGCCTACCCCTTCGGGGATAAAAGGCGTGATGTTATGTTATGTTATTATTCTGATAGGCAGTTAACATACATATCTGTAATTTGACTGATTTGCCATAAACAAGTGTTTTGATAGATTCTATTCTCGTTTTATCGATTGCATAAAATAGATCGGTAATAATTAAATATACCTAGTAATAACATAGGTAATTGTAACACATAACATAACGTCACGCCTTTTATCCCCGAAGGAGTAGGCAGAGGTGTACATTACGGCACTTAATGCCACTGTTAGGTAATTGTAATAGTTGAAAAGGTGTAAAAAATATCATTTAAGTAATATTCAACCACAGATGTTATTCAGCAAAATAATTTATTTTTAAAGTAGAAAAAATGAGTAGTGCTTTTCCAATATCATTTATCTTTGTTTTGAATGGTAATGTCACTGTATTTTTATTTAGAACTTACGTTATGTACACAGAAGATAAAAACTTGAAGTACATTTTCTCGGTAAATGATAATAATCTAATAAATCGGTATGTTAAGCGAAATAAAACTCTTCATCGACTGGTTTTAAATTGACAACACTGACTACGTGACGACAAAATTATATTCTTTAGAAATCTGGATCTTATCAGTATCACCAAATAGGTTTGATTGATTGAATTCTCGTAGTCGTGCGAGTTAGGTTACCGGAGGCCCAATTACCCTCCCCTTCCCCAATCTACCCTATTCCTGAATCCCCAAAGATCCTCAAACTCCTAATCCCTTAAAGGCCAGTAACGCACTTGTAACGCCTCTGGTGTTCCAGGTGTCTATGGGCGACGCCGATTGCTTACCATCAGGTGATCCGTCTGCTCGTTTACCGGCTTATGCCGTAAAAAAGGTCAAGTTCATAGTTACGATTGGTAATAGTGTTAACTTTAGATAAATCACCTTTATTGAAGACAAATGTACAAAAAAAACATGCTTTTTACACGCAATGTTCGCAAGTTATTGTAATTTTATACTCAAATCCAGCTATTATCACTTCAGGCTTATAAATATACCAATCTTATGAATATTAGTAAAATAAACCTGATTATGATATTATACAATTTATTATTACAACATTAGAGATAAATCAACATTACTCTATTCTGCGTAAATCTAAACAGTAGCACAATTTAATCACTGATATCCCAGTACAACAACAGATATATTTAACACGATATCGGGAAAATCAATAGATATTTTAAATTGAAATAAATTTTTATCATGTTCTAACACAATAGATAATGCTAACAACAATGTTACGCTAGTTATCATCAGTATCTGGTACTTCAAAAAGTAGGTGTAGGTATGACAGGGCTTGATAGCGGTTAAAACATACTAGAAGGAAAAATTTCTGATTTTTTTTTACATAGCCCTTTGATCGTGATTCAAGGTATACTCAACAATTCCTATCGTGCAGGAAAAAATGTCACTTTTTTTTTTCTATACAGCCCTTCTGGATTCCACGAAAGAAATCTTTATCTGATAAATATTTGACTTGTACGAGTATATCACGTGGAGTATTTTATTTGAACTAACTGCTGCTAGTGTTCACTGTTTAGCCACGGTTCCATGTTTTTTTACGCATTTTAAGATAAGTAGTTGCGAATTTGCTACTTAATGTAGCTATATAGCAACGGCAAGTACCAATGTGACTTTTTCCGAGTTATATGTACTTTCTGAGATTATTTAGACACCACTGACAAACGGTGAAGGAAAAACATCGTGAGGAAACCTGGACTTATAATTTCTAATTATAAGTTTGAAATCGCCAACCCGCATTGAGCAAGCGCGGTGATTAATGCTCTAACCTTCTCCGTGTGAGAAGAGGCTTTGCTCAGCAGTGGGCATTTATAGGCTGTTGATGATGATGATGATGTAGCTATTTCGTGATTGGTTGATGTGTAAATATAATATTTGATTTGGAAGTCGTATGTTAAGCAGTAGATGACGACTGCCTCGTTGGCTGAGTGGTCGCATGCGACTATCGGGCAAGGGGTCGATTTCGTTTCCCGGGTCGGGCAAAGTATTACTGGGCTTTTAAAACAATCTCAGTAGTAGCACGGAGTCTGGAAATGTGTCCGGTATATGGCAACCGCCATAGGCTCTCCCCCTGATACATGGTTCTCAGAACATAAATAGTGAAAAGTGGGTGTTACCTCTGCCTACCCCTTCGGCGATAAAAGGCGTGATGTTATGTTATTATGTTAATATTTAAAGCTAATAAAAACGTGTCTTATTAATTCATCTGAAACGTGGTCAATCATTAGTCGTATTTGATTGATTCATCAGGTTGTGAATCGCCTATTGTTTCAATATTTTATTTGTCTTCGTATTAAGATAATAATGAGATCAAAGCGACAATGGTCTCGACTAGTCAGGCGACAAGATTTAATTAGCACAATTATCTATAGTTCTTACTAGCGACCCGCCCCGGCTTCTCACGGGTTCAATATTCATGTATTATACATATAAACCTTCCTTAAGAATCACTCTATCTTAAAAAAACGTATCAAAATCCGTTGCGTAGTTTTAAAGATCTAAGCGTACATAGGGACAGACAGACGGCAGATAGCGACTTAGTTTTATACTATGTAGTGATTGTAATACTAAGCGTTAAGGATTAATTATGAAATTGATAAAAGAACATATCATGTATCAAGACTCTTGGTAAAGTAACTAAGTATTATATTTCCACGTTGATTTGGTTCGAGAAAACCGCAGTGACCTTTAATAAAAATGTTATAGTAACAATTAACATGCATACGCACCTACATCTGCTTGACTTATGTCGGAATACTGAAACGCTACTCAATTTAAGTCGCGCTTAAGTATAGTTCTATCTCTACAAATTCTTTGTAAAATGACAGAGATGGCATGATATTTGAGCACGACTTAAAATTGAGTAACGTTTCAGTATTTCGGCATTAGGTACTTACTTTTTATAATTTTCTCCTGGTTTTAAGTTTAAACAAATAAGTTTGTTGCCGGCTCTAATCGCCCCGTACTTAGATTCATTTAATGGCTACTTAATCCAGACCTTAGCAATAGGGTAGTTTCCTAAATTTTATTTTAATGTCCGTCTGGTACATTAATTTAAAACTTTAGACACGTATTTTTTCTTTTCTCACAAAATTGAATACTTTCGACGACATATTAATTTGAAATATCGTGTGACGTCACAGCGTGCCACATTTTGTAGCACGTTATGACGTTACAACCTCCCACTCCTAAACTTAGCGCCATTTTATCTAAGTATTGCAACGTAATACGAGAAAATTAAAAAAATACGAGTCTAATATTTTTTCATTATCTAACTGACGGACTAATTAGATTTTTAATTTTGATGCCCTGGAAACTACCCAATTGTTTTCAGAACAAAATCGTTACTAAGGAATAGTTAAGTATCGCAGTAAGTAGGTATAAATTCGGCTGACTGTTAATACATTTTCATGTAGCGACATGTTCAAGGTTGTGGTATCGCCCGTGGTTAGTTTTGAAGTCGATAACGACTTGTTGGCAATACCACTATGCGTGATACTACAATCTTGGTTAGACCGATTGATAGTAGAAGTCACAAAAAGAGTTCTGACCAGCTGCAACGACAATAGGATAGATGCCTAATTTTTATTTTAATGTCTGTCTGGTAGATTATTTCAAATTATTAGACACGTATTTTTTATTTTCTTACAGAAGCGAATACTTTCGACGATATGTTGATTTGAAATGTCATGTGACGTCACTTCTATGTACATTTTATACATAGAAATGATGTTTTAGCCCCCACTCCTAAACTTTGATTCGTTTTATCTAAGTACTGTTTTATTATACGACAAAATAAAAAAATACGTGTCTAATATTTTTTCATTACCTAACTTACGGACTAATTAGATTTTTAATTTTCATACCTTGTCATCATCCCTATTACATTGCTTTAATAAATACAAAGGATTTGTACACCAACAATCTTACTTATTGAAATCTTTTTATCTATTCCAGCTATGTGATCTGGTTGGGCGACCTGAACTTCCGAACGGATCATCCAGCGGGCAGCAGTCCAACTTCAGAAGAGATCCTAGCTCAATTACAGAAGATAGAAAAGGACAAATATGCGTCTCTTCTCGCTCATGATCAGCTCATTGCGGTCATGGACTCCGGTGAAGCGTTTTCGGAGTTTACGGAGCACGATATACGATTCCCACCGACGTATAAGTTTATCATTGGAGGAGATGAATATGATGTTAAGTACGTAACTTTTTAAATATAATGTAGCTTTGGTTGTTGTCTCCATAGAGGTTGATAGAAATAAGATTTTTATCAACCTCTCTCTATAGATCTTTACTATACTATAAAGCAGAAGAGTTTGTTTTTTTTGTTTGTTTGTTTGAACGCGCTAATCTCCGTAACTACAAGTCTGATTTGAATAATTCTTTTTGTGTTGGATAGCGCATTTACTGAGGATGGCTATAGGCTATAAAACATCACGCTATGACTAATAGGAGCTGAGCAGAGCGTGTGAAACCGCGCGGATGTAGCTAGTGCGTTTATATGGGACCCACTTTACAGTAGTTTGTCTAATCATTAGATATTAGACTCTAATGTAATAGGGGTTGGCTCTATTGCCAAAGATAACTGACTGCCATAATTTTTTTGACCAATTCCGGTATAGGAGGGTCGCACATGTTCACTATTCCTTGTGTACCTAACTCCGTTAGGAAAGACTTTTATAATAAGAACAGTTACTAAAACAATAAACCTAGCAGTGTTTAACATTTGGACTTTCAACCATTTAATCACTAGCAAATTTCACGGCTTCTGTTTAAAATAATGAATAATTACCGATATCGACTTTCTATAGTTGGGTATAATATTGTGAAATTGAATCTTATAGATTCAATGTAGGTTTGTTCTCATAATAAACTTGATTCCAAATCAACAATAAAAATATTTAGCTAAATGTGTGTAAATATGTAATACCTACACTCCTACAGTTATTGTTAATATGTAGATTTCAATACTGAGATGATAATAGAGGTTTTATCGGATACATTGCATTCTGCACCTAAATGAAACATTAATACGGTTGATTTCATTAATATAATGAGTTTAAAATTAACTTTAAGGCCAGTGCGGTCAGGCAACGAATAGTATCATGTATTTTAATAGGTTTATTAGTAATTTAATACTAAGTAACAAGAAAAAAAAACTGGAAACTCAGTCTTAATTTGTTTAAATTGTAATTTTATACGATTTTTTATTTATTTATTGGTATTAGTCAACGAAGGCCCATATTAAAATACAATAATACCTATCTAGTACAATTTTAACCCAAAATATTATTAATACATATGTAAGTAATACATTTAAATACTAATGTCCAACAATACTAACTAACTACTAATACTAAAGCGGTGTCTGGTATCCGGTAAGGTATACACCATTCGGCCAAAACTCTAGTGTCATGAATTTCGGTAAGCCTGCGGAAGGCATTCTCACCACAAATGAATTGAAATTCACGCTATGGCGGGATTCTAATTTCAAAACCCATAAAGTTTAACACGTTAACTGCCACGAAGGTCACCAGTAACTGGAGTTAACAGTTTTCTAATGGCATTCAAAGGCTTAATAGATACAGGATAATAGCATTTTTTCAAATCAAACCTGTGCCTTTAAGCTAACGCCACTTAAGCGGCTGTCTACCGAGAGAGTAGAAAACTTAATGTATGGGGATGACACTGACAAGTGTCAAAATTTACGTCAATTCCATATAATTTGGTTTTCTATTCTACATGTACATACGCGCTAAATGGCATTTGGCTACAGTTGCTGAAGTTCCTGAAATTAACGCACTCAAAACACTCCTCAGCTTTATATATTAAAGTATAATAGCGTCAGGAAGGAAAACCCGACTGGTTTTCCTTCCTGACGCTATAACTCCAGAACGCACGAACCGATTTCCACGGTTTTGCATTCGTTGGAAAGGTCTCGGGCTCCGTGAGGTTTATAGCATGTTACATAAAACGAAGCCATCTGGTGGCGAAACGGAGTTTGCCGGGTTTGCTAGTTTTATTATAGATAAATACAAAAATAACACTCATTTAATTATACCCTTTTTGGTCAACAGGAGGAAACCATCATGGACGGACAGAATTCTATACAAAGTGAACGCGAATAATTATGAGAACGTGACGTTAAAGGCTGAGGTGGTGTCGTATAACCACATGGCTCACTACACAGTCAGTGACCACAAGCCAGTGGTTGCATTCTTCAATATAAAGGTCAGTATATCAAGATTGTTTTACGTTAGACAAGATTGAAATGTTACCGCATTTAGCTCTGATTGGTCGGTTCATTGGAGCAGGCCAATCAGATACTAGATCTCGTTGAACGTAACGCATGCTCTCAGGTGTCGCATGACTTTAGTAGGTATTGGGTAGTTTATGTATTGCACTGTGACTGGTTCGGTTTAGATTCATACTAATAATAACTTAAATAATGTATTTGTCACTTAGGCACTACGCTCCACTTGTCCGTTAAGTACCGTAAGAGCCGACTAATAGCCGAAATGAATAACCGTTCTCAATCAAAAATTTGTGGAATAGGATACATTTTTGACAGTAGTTGTATGGAGATTACAAAATCCCCGATAGGTAAGAAGTCGGTGCGTCAAGTTGTAATTTTTCTTTATACTTGAATGAAAGAAAGAAAGAAAGAAAAATTGTTTATTTGCACACCGTCACAAAGTACAATAACACACAAAAAATAGTATATTTGGTGATTCGACGATAAAAATATTCATTAAACCTCTATAAATTACCTTATAATTTAATATTTATTACAATTTTATTACAGATTATTCCTGTGACCATTAAGTTACATTTTGTTAAAGGCTTGTGGCACCGACTTTTAACCTATAAGTGGGTTGGTAACCTATCCATACATTATGTATACTAATAATAATAATTAGTTTTTGTTTTGTAGTTTTTATCTTTTGTTTGTATTTAGTTTTTTTTTGTTTTTAAGTTGTTTTTTTAATTTTTACTTTGTAGTTTAGGACTAGATATCTAGGACTTATGGTTATCCGTTGCATTACTTATAACCTACATAGGTGTAGAATTGTTATCAATACAAATACAATACGTCAAGCACAAACACTGCTTAGCTACTGTAAACCGCTGAGGAGTTTTCTTATTTATTTATTTTATTTATTTAAGTTATACTGTTAGTCTAATATAAATACTATTATTTAGGTACTTAAAAATAAACTGATTAGATAATCAAATATAAGAAATAAAAATTTATACAATTTAGAAACAAAAGTAACAAAAAAAAACTATACAATTGAATAACAAATTTGGTAATTACAGTAATTGTAACTTGACACAAACATTAACATTATAATTCTCTTAGCTATCATACTCCTTCTTCATCAGATCGTAGTGATAATCATACTCCATTTAAGTGTAAGTTCTCATCAATACTAATAATTCGTAGTGCCTATTCGCAAAGCAAGTTTTGTCATAGAAAGTGTAAAAAAACTTTTCTGTACTTTTTAGCATTCAACAGCTAGGTTGTTCGTTTTCTATGGAAAAACTTGATCTATTTTTTTCTTTTTTTGAAAAACCATGCCTCACTAGGATTTTCTCCTGTGTCGTGGGTTGCGTTGACAAACATATAAGTTCACATACACATGACAACCAGACCCGAAACAACAACGATCTGCGGATCACACAAAGAGTTGTTCCGTGCGGGAATCGAACCCACAACACGTTGCGCGGCAGTCAGTTGCCCAACCACCAGTGCAGTCTAATCTTTTATTTGAGTTTAGAATTCGATTTTTTTAAACACTAATCAGTATATTAAGTAAAATCGCGGGTTACTCACGTGAATATACTGAGAAAAGCTCTACTAGTTTCGAACCACAGAGGGGTTCTTCCTCATGAACAGCGTGCGCGGTCGCGGCGACGTCGCGCAGCTCACTCTCATCAATACTATATGCGCGATAAGAACCCCTCTGTGGTTCGAAACTAGTAGAGCTTTTCTCAGTATATTCACGTGAGTAACTCGCGATGTTACTTAATTTAGTATGTCTCACGATACTTATTATACTAATCAGTATGTCGGTATATTTATAGTTTTTTAAGGTTGAGTACTAGTAACTGGTTTTGGTCAACAAAAGAATAGTGTTACCACCAAACGCCGTTCATTACGAGTAGAATCTTGAAAGTCAAATATCGCTCATTTTCGTCCACTGGTGGACATAAGTTCAATAAGAAAAATAATACTCTTGTCGCCCTAGTCTAGACGTAAACTAATAAATACTGACCCAATTCGTTTGACGCGATGCCGACCATGTCTCGAATCGCTTAGTTCGAGCAATTATTAATATCATTCTATTTGGAACAACCATTAGTCGTGTTATGAACGACCTAAATATTGTACTATGATAGATATGTGGCCTAAACATTTTATTTATTACTTAGAACTAATTTCTGTCAGCGTCTTTGCCTGCTTTTCCTATAAAAAGTAGTCTGTGAATACATGGATTTTTTTAAGGGGTGAAAATCATCGAATGACTACTCCCGCCTGGGTGAGGCGGGAGGGAGTGTCAGACTCTTACTGACTAAAAACCACCCCGTTCCTTCTCCTGCACGTCAAGCCGGAGCCCCGGTACATGAATACATTTATAAGTTTCAATAACAATTCCAGATTATAACTGGTTGATTGATTGCACGGTTGGCGCGGTAACTGGGCAACCGGCTGCCGCGCAACGTGTAGCAGTTTCGATTCCTCCCCGGAGCAAATCTTTGTGTGATTCACAAATTCTTGTTCCGGGTCTGGGTGCCATGTGTATGTGAACTTGTATGTTTGTAAACGCACCCACGACACAGGAGAACAATAATGAGAGGGGGCAACGTTTAAAAAAAATTATACAAAATTGTATTTAAATCTTTTCAGTGGTTTTTACACACCCTCACATTCACATTTATCGTTTTGGTATAAAATAGAAAGTTATTTATTTCATATGGTTATTCATGGTAGTATGGGATTATACAATATTTTTTCTATATGACCATAAGTTATACTAAAAGCCAATTGAAGGTTATCAAAGTACATTTATCACCGTTAGTCGAGGTGGCCTTATTTCTGACCTGTTTGTACTTTTGTATTTACCTACATTGTGCAATTGTGTTTGACAAACATAGATATAGACATGTAAGTATTTATATCATTACCTAGTAGTAACCTTGACTTATGTAGCTTTATCTACCGAGATTAAAGGTTTGCACAGATAATAGGCGTACCAAGAAGTAATTTTATATGTTAACTGGAATACCACTTTCATTTTGTTTTAAAATCTACGATACGAGCAGTCGAGAAAAATATTTTTACAGTAAACATGGCTTTCTCTCATCGTCTATTGAGTGACAGTTCTGATTAATAGCAAAGAATAGTGCCTATGTAGGTCCTAAGGTGTTTTTTGGCGCATCCAGATGTGTTCTTACATCTATGGCTTGTGTTGTAATCTGTGATTAAATATAATAATCTTGTCTTTGAATATGTAGCGCCACCTTTATTTTTTTCACGATAACAAATTACTATCATAGTCTCCACCCCCGCTTAAGCGCATTGTTATCACTGTAGAATATAGTGTCTATTAATAAAAGTATTCCATGTTAATTCTGGTCTACTTGTTAACTTTACCAAACGCTCCAATAATTACAACAGTTTGTTATCAAACATTTCACATTGATCTTGACCTTAGTATGTAGACATAAATTGAATGAAAAACTAGAGAATTGTATTGTGAACTTGATTAAAAAAGAGTAACGTATGGAGTTTCTTGCTCGTTCTTCTTCATAGGAATCTACACCTTGCAATGAGCAAATAGCTTCACTTTTAATTGTTTTGTTGACGTTTGAAAGTGTCTTTCTGGTCTAATTGAAAAAAATGACTTTGACTTCGACTTAGAAAAATGGTGTTTAACAAACTCGAAAACAAAATCTTTTTTAAAAATCCCTATAAAAGTTTTTATGTAAAATATTCTATTATAAGTTCAATATTGTTGTATCATCCATAGCGCCGTACAAGATACCTTTACAATGTTTACATTTCAAATACAAACGGTGGGCCCTAAACTGGTCGGAAATTGAAGCATTCACATTTAATTATCACTCTATTGATGCACGCGTTATTAAATAACGTTTACAAATACGGTAGTTTGTTAGTATGCTATTCTTATTGCACGAACAGCCCTCTTAATTCAGTTGGCGTGTCGACGCTAATTTTCATTGTGTCTGTATTTATTTTTGGTGTATTGCACTAACTGTTTGGCTGGATCCGTGTTTTAGATTGTTGTCTATTTAAGAATTTATGTAACAATAAAAAACTTTGGTCAGACTTCATTGGCTGTTAAGAAAAAAGGTTTATTTAATATTTTGATTTATTGTTTTATTATTTTTGTACACACATAGAATACTTTGTATCATATTTGAATGTACCTTTAGAACCAATCCTTCCCTACTAACGAGTAGTATTTGTATTGCACCAACTGTACATTTAGCCAAAAATATACCCTATAAGCTTGTATTAACCCCTAATTTTGCACGCTTGCATGGTAGGTTCGGAAATCGTTCACTCGCGAGCTTGTAGCTGAACGGCCGCAGAGACCTCCTGGTATACGAATGCGGTCTATGATCGTCGCTTCTTCTGAGGTAGCTGTGGGAGGACAAGCGGCCATGTTTAGTGCGCCGATGGCACCGATAAACACTGACTCTGCTGACGGTCCCATGCATGCTATGCACTCCGCTAAAGTAGATACTACAGATGGGTTGAATAGTTCAGAGGTAAGTAGACTTTAGTTGCTTGTTCATTGGTCAGAGGTCTTATGTTAATAATAATTAGAATGTGTGGAATTAAAGAGGTTTTAGCTCTTCCATTTCATAGAACAATTTTAAATACATTAAAATCTTTATGATACTTCTACTTCTGTCTATGAATGGAAATCAAATTAATTCATAGGTATGTGTTTAATAGTACATACATACATACCATCACGCCTTTATCCCAGAAGGGGTAGGCAGAGGTGCACACAGAAGTGACACCCACTTTTCACTATTTATGTTATGAGTCCCATGTAATAGGAGGTGAGCCTATTGCCATATACCGGACACATTTCCTGACTCCGAGCTACTACTGAGATTTTTTTGAAAACCCGGTAATACTTTGCCCAACCTGGGAATCGAACCCGAGACTCCTTGCCCAAGTTTTTTAGTTTAAAACATTATTATAGAGACAGACAACTGGAACTTTGTTTTCTTATATGTAGAGTAATATAGAGTACTGAATATATTAACATAGGACCTTAAACAAAATAATGTAGTATGGGAAATGAATAATCAATTTTATAAATATTGAATGGTTTGCATGCTATTTGGTACTATTATTGCATGGTTGTTAGCAATGCACCTTAGTTGCCAAACCAACTAGACTATCTCTTATTAAGATTTTAGTATAATTATATAAAAAAACATTTTATAGGCTGGCAACACATTCTTCCAGTGTTGCCAGTGTTCATAGGCGGCGCTGTCGGTTACCATCAGGTGATCAGCCTGCTCGTTTGTCTAATGTCCTACATGAATAAGTGGCAATTTATAACTCTTATGTCGGAATACTGAAACGCTACTCAATTTTAAGTCGTGCTTAAGTATTTATAGTTCTATCTCTACAAATTCTTTGTAAAATGACAGAGATGGCACGATATTTGAGCACGACTTAAAAATGAGTAACGTTTCAGTATTCCGGCATTATACATGTTCATTTTAACAACTATAGGTACATGTTTCCTTCCTCTTTCTTGTTAGTGCCTTATAAATATTGTTTGTCTACAGACATTCTCAAACTATACAGAGAAGACTGTAGAGTTTGCGCCCATTACACGGATCTGGTATATCGGTGATGCTGACTTTAGGACGCAGTGTACGCTCACGCCGGACATTGAAGTCAATCCTAATGATTGGATTGGTATTTACGATGTAAGTTGACATTCAATCATTTGTATTTGCGTTGAGAAATTTTCAAAGGGTTAATTTAGTGGGTTCTTGATAATTGAGTTCATTATTGCTTTTAACCCGTCGAGTGTCCGCGTTCGTTATAATCCAACGGGTGCACACGTGACATTTGGAGCATTTTTCTTATGATCCACCGGGTGCTCATAAGGACGCTCGAGGGGTTAAAGAAATCCATCGAAATCAAATCTGTAAGACCAAAGGCACTTTTGAATGTCAAATTATAAAATGAAAATGGTATCTATCGGTTCTTTAGTAAAGCCATTTACTCTATACAAAATGTAATACGAAAAATCCTGTGCAGAAAGAGAATTCATTATTTATTTATTATAAAAAGGCTTACAGACTATAATACATAGAAAATGATTTTATAAGAGTATAATATTGACAAATTGCTAATTACAAGCCTCCACATATAGATTAAAAGAAAAAACAAAAAGGCATAAAAAAGAGTACAGAAGACTAATTTACTAACAAATATTAATAGTTAGAAGAATAATTAGAAAAAGAAGTTAACTATCGAAGAAGTTTTGTGCGATTTGATGTCGGAAGGTTACTACTGGTGCAGAATAAGTCGATATCAAATTCCTTAGACAGTCTATTAAGATCAAGTGCACTCCTTATTGAAAAAAAACATTTTTCATATAGTTAGTTGATGTAATGTGCAAATAGCCAATATAGCCAATATTTGGCCATACAGCCAAACATTTGACATCCAAATTCAATCAAATGCATGTGAAAAATTTACAAATAAATGTGTCCTTTTCCAGGCCAACTTCCACAGCTTAGATGACTACATAGCGTACGAGTACCTGGCTAAGGTCAGTCTCCCCGAGACACCGACTGCTAGTGGCCAGCCTCGTACTATTACATTGAGCTTCCCGGTCGGCAGTGGAGTCAGGACGCCTGGCTTCTACAGGCTTATATACTTTAGCCAACCTAATAACGATGTTAGGAGTGTTTTGGGTGAGTTTATTTATTGTATTATAGAAGTATATTGTATTATAGGGTAGGTGACTAATTTGTATTTTAATGTCCGTCTGGTAGATTATTTAAAAACATTAGACACGTAATTTTTATTTTCTTACGTAAACGAATAGTTTCGAAGATATATTGATTTGAAATATCGCATGACGTCACTTTTGTACGTACGATTTGTACTCTAAAATGACATAGCTACCTCCCACTCCTAAACTTTGATTCATTTTATCTAAGTATTGTTTTCTTATACGACAAAATAAAAAAATTCGTGTTTAATACATTTTCATTAGCTCACAGACGGACTAATTAGATTTTTAATTTTCATACCCTGTCATCATCCCTATTGTCTTCTCTAAGATATAAGTTCACTATAAGATATAAGTTCCAAAAGAAACGGTGACTTTACCTTGCATTTAAGGGTAAGGATTTTCATTTCATCCTTACTAATATTATAAATCGGAAAGTGAGTTTGTTTGTTTGTTCCGCTTTGACGCCGTAACTACTAAACCGATTGCTTTGAATTTTTGCAGACGTAAAGTTAGAAGTCTGGATTAAATAATAGGGTACTTTTTATCCCGGAAAAATTTGACATTCCCGAGGGAAAACAAAAGTATTGGTATAGATGGCGCTGTGTGTATTGATATATGTCACATAGGCTACTTTTTATCCTTTTGTGACGTGAGCGAAGCCGCGGGTGAAAGCTAGTGATTTATAATTTTTTACAAATACTTATACAATGACTAAAAGAAGTAAGATCCCGTTACCACAATATTACTTTAACTACTCACTCTACACATCTAGGATTTTGCAATACATAATAAGCTATTACAGTAGATACAGTATACAAACCTATCAAGGTTACACAAAATTAAACCCTATACCAAATACTGAAGATCCACTCTCTTTCACAGGTATATCGGAACCGTTCGAAGTAAGTAGCAAAGAGGACAGCTTAGTCGTAATAGATCCTTGTGAGCAGGCCTCAAGCAGTTCATCCCCAGGAAGGTCCAAGCCTTCAACCGCTACCACGGACATATTCACCGACTTCACAGGCCTTGATGTTGCTAAGCTGTCGCGACACTTCTCCAACGATCTCAGCATCGACTGACTAAAAACCTACCTGCCCGGTTCACCGGCAAACCTAAGAAAGAACAATAACGGTGTTTAGATTGTATTGTCGGTGTACCCCTAGCTTTAAGCGTAATTTAAATTTGGAACGTCACAAAATTAGAATTGTTATTGTCAAAGGCCTATTTGCGACCATTGTGTATGTTTTCTGCTTAGTAGATGCGACGTCACATCAAGCTATGCATAACCAGTATAAACTGATCGTTGAATCTGCCGAAAGATCATATAAAGCGGGTCCATGACAAATTGGTTTTTATATGGTGTGTGTACAATGTTTGTGGTTAAAAATTCCGGTTTTGGTCGCAAAATTCTTTTGTTTTGTATTATTTATGTATATGGTTAGAAGGTTAGGCATAATATTGTTCACTTAACATTGTTTAGGCATATTCTCTGTGTCTAGTCGCCGTAGGTCTTATTGTTAGAGCATTAATGTCTGCTCTCTAATAACATTTGTTAGCAAGCCATGTTTGTTGTTCAAATTAATTATTGCATTTTTCCTAGTTGAATATAATATCAATCGGACAGGAAAACCTACTTTTCTGCTATATTTCTTTATTCGATTTTGAACCTTTTTGTGTTTGATACAAAGTAAAAAATCCAATGAAAATTGGAGTATGTTAACTTGCTGGCGTCTGTACATATACAGCTTTTAACCAAAAAGGTCGGTTCATACAATTACTGGATAGAAGTAGGATTTAAAAAGGTGTAAGCGATATATGGGATCATTGACCCTTATGTAAGGTTAGGAGCACATATCCACAATGTTATGGTGTATAATCGGCTTTATGCGACCAATATTACTTAACTAGTATCAGGAATTGATATAACATGTAAATAATAAATATCTATTCCATTATGTGATTATATTAGTACAATTTGTAATTTTTATAGCATTGTATAAATCGTTCATTGGTTAATATTGTTGTTTAATGTAGTAACTTGTAATATTACATAATAATCGGAAGTTGGGAGGCGATATGAGGTATTGGGTTTGTCACAATTTTAGGCAGTATTAAAAAAAAATACGTATGAATCCATGACCTGTCATTCTAAAAAAATTCATTCGATGAAGCTTAATATTTGAAATTATTTGTGATTATTTTTTTATTGTGAATTCGAAATTATTTTATAGGCTTTCGCATTGTTATTGGTACTTACCATATTTCTTTATGCTTTCTTTAAAAAAGTATTACGAAGTTCCCTTGTAGGGCTAAAGCTAGCTCAGTCTAAAATGACAATAAACTTGTTAGTTAAGTGTTGTGATTCATAAAACATTGCCATTATATATATTTTTTATTTTAGAGTAAGTAGAGCCCGTCCCTATTTTTTTATATTTTTTTTACGCTTTAGCATGCTCAATGACAAATTTTTGGATACGAGTCTTTTGAGAAATGTGTTCATTGTAGAAAAAAGTTGTCATACTTTGACGCGTTTGTATTATACGAAATCAGTGCCGGATTAATCATGTAGCAAGAGTAGCATACGGGTCCCACGAAAGTCATCTCCATCTTAAGGCCAATGTTTCAACTGTCAGTTAATTTTTAACTGTAGAATAAAATTAACATTTGCCAGTTATTAGTATGGAACAATGATCAAATATTCAAAGTTATTCCTCATTTAAAATTTATTTGGTGTTAGAATAATAGGCCATTTTTTTAAAGGGGTGTCAGACTCTTACTGACTAAAAACCACCCCGTTCCTTCGCCTGCACTTCAAACCGGAGCCCCGGTAACCCGTTAGGTTCTCCGCGACTCCGAATCGGCGTCAGCCCTATTGGGCCCCATCCGTGGTGGTCTGATGGCTCTTGGAATATTTTTACTGACACATAAGGCTCAATCTTTTCGGAATAACCTTCTTCATACTCCCATTGAGTTTGGATCCATCCAGTCAGGGATACCATGTACATTGTAGACCTAGAATTAGCTACAGGCGCCGCGCTTGATTAATCCACTACTGTATAAAATATTCTTATTTATATACCCCCGGGCACAGCAATTAAAATTTATATAAGTAAACATTATAATAAAATAATTAATAATAGTCACATTAATAAAAATGAACCTGTTTGAAGAACCACCGATTTTTATCACAATATGGAATAATATTTAAACCTTTTTGTACATAAAACTCTTTTGAACTGTAATCTTATGAGATGTAACCAATGTTTGTATGAATTTAGAGTATTTTCCATAGAATATATTAATGTTATTGTATATTTATAAATGTAGTTAAACTGAATTACATATTTGTATGAAATTCTCGCTTTCATTGATATTTAATACATGTATGATTAATTCTAATGGCCTATATATTAATTAAAGCTATATATATATTTATATATTTATGTCATAGTCTGTTTTCAGTAGCTGACTGTAATTTCAACTATAATGTAATATGAGTATATATATTATGTATGCTCTTAATGATAATTATATTGCATAAAATGACATCTGCTTAGAACAACTTCACTCAGCTGAAATTTTATCTCTGCGGTCTTTTCCCAATTAAATTAGTGTTCAAATAAGATACTAACTGCGATACTCGGAGACATTTAATGATTCCTTAGTAAAGATTTTGTTCCAACAATTGGGTAGTTTCCAGGGTATCAAAATTAAAAATCTAATTAGTCCGTCAGTTAGATAATGAAATAATATTAGACACGTATTTTTTTTTCTTGTATATCTAAAGCTACAATACTTACATAAAATGGTGTTAAGTTTAAGGTCGTCACGTAACAACGTGCTGTAAAAAGTACCACGCTGTGACGTCACACGACATTTCAAATTAATATATCGTCGAAAGTATTTGTCTCTGTTAAAAAATAAAAAGTACGTGTGTAATGTTTTAAAATAATCTACCAGACGGACATTAAAATAAAATTTAGGAAACCACAGTATTGCTAAGGACTGGATTCAGGAGCCATTAAATAACTCTGAGTACGAAGGTATATCTTAGTTTTTCAAATGGAATGATTAGCTCATTAAAATTTAAATATCATATAAAAGTAGATTTAAAAAGCATCTTTGATATGATATAAAATGTTTTTCCTTTTACATCATTTAAAAATCAATTCAAACCCCAAAAGAATAAAGTTAATTTTTATATTGAACATAAGTTTTACCTCGCTTCTTTGGCTTTATTCTGATAGTAGACCATTCTTTCATTAAAATACTAGGCTGTATGTATTGTAATTTAATAATGATATTTTCGTCTATGTAAGTATTATGATATGAATAATTCTTAGATGTTTATCTATGTATATTTTGTAATAATAATAGTGTTATAACATGGTTGCTTTTGTATAAAATTAACTATATATGGTTCTATATTATATATTTTACTAATGTTCCAATGTGTCACAGATAATCTTAATATTTACTATCAATATATGCATAGTATGTTTATGACTGTGACGATGTATTCAACAGGTAACTTTGATAGTACGCGCCTAAATTACTCTGAAATGACGTTTAAGAACAATTTTGCTGTCTTGCTCACTCAACCTATATCAGACAGAGATAAAATATCTAAGTTGATTTGTATTACTTATTTTATAAAAGAAAATACGCATATTTATGTTATAACTTTCGTGAGACATACTAATTTAATTATTGTTTTTCGGCTTATTTACGTAATTACGCAAATATCAGCAGCGCGACAGTCGCCGCGTCGCTGGTCGCGGAATTCTGCCATGAATATGAGCCATCGACATATAATAATGGACATGCCTTAGAGATGAGAATTGTGGCACTTCGAAAGAAAGAGAGGAAAAGAAGTTTCAGAAAATAGTACCGTAGTTAAGACGTTATGAGCGAGAAAGAGATAGCGCTAGACCGAAAGCATAGGCCATCTCTCTCACTCTTTTCAAACCAAAAAATTACCGCAGATTATACGCGTACGGCATGTCCATTAGTATTTGTCGATGATATCAACCTCTAGCATGGCTTGAAACTAGTCGAGTTCCTCGTCAAATAAATACATGAGTAAGCCGAAATAAATAATAATTAATTTTGTCGCCTACTTAAATATAAAACGGGGGCGTACTATGGTTATAAATTACTCCATATACATATTTAAAATAAATATAGAGATTATTTACTCAAAATTCACTAATAATATAATCTTAAGGCCTTTCCTATTTACTTGCCACTACATTTATTCCATAGAAAATGTACTTACGTTAGGTTTTAGACAAATCGTTATATGCAATAGTTTTACAAAATATTTGTTGCTATTTTGGTCGGAAATCGTGTAAAATATAAATGTTATTCAGTTGCGAGGTTTGTTTTTGGTCGCTGATACGGCAACGGAAACGGAAATCGGGGCGGGAAACGTAGGGGTTGGTGCGCGACTAACTTCATTCAATATGTATAGTTTTTGAGTTAGGAACGTTGCGCTGCTTGTTGCTAACTTCAGTTTTGTTCTAACGTGTACTGTTATCATATAAAAGGTGTTCTCCTCACTTCGCCAAAGAAGTTCGTTATAAGAAAACAATATGTTTTTATAATAACTATCGTGAGACATACTAAATCAACTGTTACTCACGTGAATATACTGAGAAAAGCTCTACTAGTTATGAACCACAGAGGGGTTCTTCCTCATGAGCAGCGTCCGCGGTCGCGGCGACGTGGCGCAGCTGCACTGTATATTCATGCGATTTTAGTTAATTAAGAAAACAATAAATAGAAATCATATATTTTTATTTTATTGATGCAGACAGTTTTTAATTAAATTCCGTATCTCAATTCATACTTCGATGACGGTCAATATTTGGATTGTAAAACATATATTTAATTATGGGAATACCCGAAATTAATTCTAATTGATTTTTATTCATTGTAAATGGTACGGGGATTCCCCTTTAACCAAGAACGGGGAAATATGGATGCCTTAGAATGAAATTTTAGACAGATTGTCTTAAATTCTGTACAGATTGTCTTATAGAGATCGATATCAGATAAGGCCTTAATTCTTTCATAATTGTAGAAAACGTTTTAATTTTTTTCATGTATACAATGTATTGTAAACTAAAAAAAATAGTGTAGTAAAATTGGGCCTCTTCTTTTCTTAAATTACAACGGTTTTCTGGTGCTTAAAATATAACATACTTACGTGTGTGATAACTGTCAAACACCGCGAGGACACCGGTGACCGCAACCTATTGTTCTTTAATTGTGTCTATAATGACGGTACTCAAAGGGTTAAAGATAAATAAACAATAATAATTACCAAAATGGTACGTGTGATGTTGCAATGTCTCAAATTAATCATTTAATTTTCTCAAAATAAAAAAAATATACATACATACATACACACATAACTTCACGCTTGTCTCCCGTGGGGGTAAGCAGAGACTATGGAACGCCAATTGCTACGATTCTTACCTACCTTACCTCATCGAAATTACAGTTAATTATTTGCAAGATTTTGTTACTAACAATAAATTACTATAAAGTAAACAGAAGTGACCTCAACACTAATTAGGCTTTTTTCTTTCAATTTCTCTTAATCCGAATTTCCGATCAAATCAGCAACAGCCTATAAAATAAACCAAAAATATTTTCAATGCGTAGAAAATGTTAACAATGAACTCAGTTGAGTGTATACAGCTTATATGTACGATAATGTTGCAAACAGCACTGAATTGTTGAAATATTTGTTATATTGGCTACGTCTACAACGCTGCTACGCGTGCTACGCAAATTCGTAGCAATTTTAATGTGCAAACATTCTCGCGATTTTCTCCCAGAAAACAATCCTCACTAACGGTAAAGTTATTTACAAAAATTGTAAAGAACTTGCACATTTTCATTGCTACTAATTGTACTTCGTATACCCTAGGTGCTCACTTAATTAGTACACCTACATTTAAAGTTTCTTGTATCTCTTATACCTAAATACTGTTGCATTTCTGTGTAAATGTTATAAAATTCCATATCACGTGATAAATATTTTATCAGTTACCTAACTATCCGTATCAGTGTGTCGTGATTCACTGCATTTCAAATGCTATTATAATTGTAGTACAAAATGATTAATTTGTAGTTGTCACAACAGTTGTGTTAAATTATGGGAATAGAATTTATTTAGTTGAACATTTTGTTTTATTTACTCGTTTCTTTGGTAATTGCGTGTCGTAATCGCTGTCAGGGCGCGACACGATAGGTGTAATGTTTGCCGTTATCAAATTAATCACGTCGCGATAAAGAGTACGCGATATGTAATGTAGCGCGGCGAGGGAGGCGCGGCGTTGATGTCGAATGCGTGCAGCTCGTAGTACTGCTCCGTAGCGTTATCGGGAAAGCGCGGGAAAACAGTGGCGACGAGCGCTCGCATCAGTTGGCTCGCGGCCGCTGCCAGACATGCACGGGTCCGCGCGCGCGCTCGCTCTCGCACTCGCGATACTCGCGCTCGCGTACGCGCGCGCCCACATACCCTCCCACGACAACATCCTAAGAATACAGTTGTGGGATGCGGAGGGTCTCAGTAGGGATCCCATCACCACGCCGGCTCCGGCCACCACGCCAGGCTCGCGTTCCGCCAGGCGCCACAAGTTGAAAGTGAACTTGGACTCGCTGTACGATGCTATGCTGGAGGAAGGCCACGACGGAGGGTTCGGCAGGTTCACGCGACATAAAGTGCGGCACAAGCGACGTCGGCCTCGGCAGACCGGCACCGACTTGCCGTGGCGGTTCCACGCCGGCGACAAGGTGTTGAACGTGGCAGTGTACGACGAAAATGTGCCCTGGGACGTTATCGAGGCTGAGAACAGCGGGACTATGGTGAATACGAGTGCAGTGAGTGAGAGTGCCAGTTCCCCTGTGAATGCGCCGCGGGACGTGGGGCCCCCGATGCACCTGCGTCAGCCTCCGGACGAGGTAATGAGTGAGAGCAAACACCGTATACATTAATGTAACGTCGCCTTTCATCGTTATCGTCGCCCCGAGGTGGTTAATAGCCATTCACAGAACTGATAGGCTGCCGGCATTGCCGTAGGGATTTCTATTCACCGCTCCTTTTCAGCATAACCCCTCGGGCGACGATGCGTTGATAAAAGTGAATGCCCTTCATTGTTTTTAAAATATTTTCTCGCCGGCTGTATGTAGATCGTATCAGGTTGCGCGGACGCGAGCGAAAAATAATTTTCAAGGGGAGATTGGCTCACCGGTGCCTTATCAGTCAGATATATTTTGCGGATTATCTGTTTGTTGTCAGCAGCGCCGATGTTTATGTTCCGATACCGGTTGTGCTATATTTAATTAAATACTTCAATAACGCTTGGAATAACTTCGTTATCAAGAACGTGCTGCTACTGATCTATACGTGTCCATTTTGCTCTTGTATTCAGGTAATTGGTTAACGGCACTAGTATTACAAATTACATCGGCCTGGTTGTACGTTAGTGGGATGACAATTACCTACAAATCATCCTCATAATTACAAACTAAAACCTGTCTTGTACATATTATATTATGTAGAAAATCCGTAGTTATGATCTTGAGTCAGGTACCTTCGTACAGGCCAGTTTAAAAAAATCTTGTCATTTACCGCTGAACAGTTTGCAGTGGTATAAATTAACATATTAGGTCCAAATGCACTTTTATACACGTCAGATTATTATGTATTTACAGGTACGTGCTTGAAACTTACTAAACTATAAAGTTCAAATATGTATTTCGATGGGAACCAATAGCCAGTCCCTAGAGAACTAAATTAGGTACACACGACTGATTTTTAGTATTCGACCTTTAGAATGTTAACCTTTCGTTAAACTTGGCGAGGGTCATGCGGCCGACATAGGGTTGCTACCCCACGGTCCACGCTATTACTCTTTCACAGTCCTCATGTTTCCTGTTTTAACATACACGACTATTCAAGTACATTTTAATACATTGTTACAACCATTTCCTGTGATTTAATTTGCACGGACCCCTAGCCCTTCCGTAACACAACCATATTTTCGCCAAGCTAAAATATTCATTCCGAAACAAATTGAATTAGACCTGCCTGTAGTGAGGAGATTTTCAATTTAAATCGATTGCGTAGATATATCGATAACGTTTCCAATCGGATGGGGCGATATCTCGTTTCGTGCGAGTTAATCGTTCACCTGTGCTAAGTTACAGGGGCAGACCGCGTATACGCCCGTTGCCCGCAGCCCGGCCGGCGCCAATCAACCGGAAATTAGGCACAAATCAATAATTTCCCAGTCGATACTGTCCACTATACGGTGACGCTAATAGAGTCTGATTGACTCGTCTACCGTTCATATTCGGCAAATGCGAAATTTCAATCACCATCGGTGTTATAAACTTGATTGAAAATGTCCCTTTTATCAAATGATGTTTTGGTATTGGTATCGTCGTCATTACTCGATATTATTTCTATAATTGCCTGCGTAGGAAATATTCCCAAAATGTTTGTTTCCGTTCGAAGAATAATATATAAGGTAATTGTCCTGTACATGAGGAAGATATCGATTGTTATGACAATAATACCCATCATTATGTAGTATTGAGTAGGTAGGCAAGGCACCTACATAATATCCCAAATAACTTGACATTTATAATTATAGAATTACTCATTCATATTTGTTTAACTCATCTGTACAAATATTATAAGACAATTCAGATGACAGAATTAATTAGGTAATAATTATATCAAAACTAATTTGTTGAGCATTTTGACGTAATTCAGATATCTTAATTAACTGTTAGACGCTTAAATTAAATTGCCTACACAGGTAACGAAGTTACTATTAACAGGTATATAGGTACGTAGATACCTATTAATAGTAACTCCGTTACATATATTTATGAACACTGAATAGACATAAACCGATAAAGCTATGAACCACTAAATATGTTGGCTTGAAGTACTAAGGTACTATATAAAGTAAAAATGCCTTAATAACAGGAAAATAAACTTACTCAACTGATAAATAATTCTTAGAAATTTTCCCTAAGACATAGGTATCATACATACATACATAACTTCACGCCTGTCTCCCATGGGGGTAGGCAGAGACTATCAAACGCCAATTACTACGATTCCTACACACCTCTTTCGCTTCATCAACAGTCATCAATCTTTAATTGTTTTCTTTTTTTTAGACATAGGTATCTAGGTGTAATATTACGAATCTGTACCTATGTGTCACACTGTGTAGGTGAAGGCCCTAGTTTAGGTATTCCTTAGTGGAATAGAAGATGATATCATTGGAAAATTCGCCCGCGTTACCGTGGCGTAAAAAGTAGCCTGTGAGTTATTCTAGACTATACTATAACATATGCCTGTCCCAAATTTCGTCGCGATCCCTTCAGTCGTTTTTGACGTGGAGGAGTAAGACACAAAAAACAAACATTCAGCGTTTATAATATTAGTAGGATGACTGGTGAAAATTTTGTCTATACTATACTGTCCTCTACGTCTCCAGGGAAAACGGGCTCGGTATTATCTACGAAACCCACTTCATTATGAATAAATACATCATTCAAATGTTAATTAATTTATAAAGTAGGGATCAGGTGTGTAATTAAGTGTACCGCATTGCACCTCACGGACACATTCGGCCCCACATATTATTGTGCCGCGTTGTAATGCGAACTCACTCCACTCACCCTCCGTCTTCATTACACTAGAATACGAATTTAATACTTACAAAGAGTAATTTCTTCGTGTAATCCAGTACTAAAGGACTTTATTATGTTACACAATTCTACTAACTAAAGTATGCAAGTTACTTTAAGTAGGAACCATTAAAACAAACCTTTAAAAAGTTTCTTCATTACAATTTAAATACCAAGTAATTTCCGCGTGTTCATTTTGAATTTGTTCTTACCGCTGCCTGTCCTATAACGAGCCATAGGCAACGCTTAAAAGTTAATTATCCTCCTTAAATTTATTATTCCTATAAAAATCTTTATGAAATGTAGACGGCTATAAGAAAAGCGTAACAAAAAGTAATAATAATGACGTTCCTACGTTCTTTGTGACGGCGTTGTAAAAAGGGGAGATGTAATTTCTTAGTGAATCAAGCATCTGCCTTTGAAATATTCAGTCGTCAACCAAAATAATTATCTGCTTCGCGCCCCCGATCGTTAAGAGCGTTGAGGCGAGTGTTATAGCGAAAATCGATGGCTTAACTTCCGTATACTGGAACAGTCTTACTCCCACTGCACCTGTGATCGCAAACATGTTTTTTTGAATAAGAACAATATCTTCTGAAATATTTCCCGTATTCAAAGAGTAAGGATATTGTCGCGGCCAGCTTTTTTTTGTTTGTCATGTACTTTTCTAAGTCAAGTAAAACTAATTCTGGTTAATGCCCTCGAATGTTACTCTTGTTCCGGATCTTTCATTCGACTGCGTAACGATTTAAAATAGTGGGTAAAGATATTCTATGAAATTAGGCGGTTTTTTTATGGGAAAAGTCGATAAACGAGCAGACGGATCACGTGATGGTAAGCTATCGGCGTCCCTCGTTGACACCTGGAACACCAGAGACGTTAGAAGTGTGTTACCGGCCTTTTGGGGATTAGGAATTTGAACATTTTTGGGGATTCATGGATACGACAAAACACAACGCAAGCATTGTTTCACGTCGGTTTGTTGTGAGGCCGTGGTATCACTCCTCCGTTTATAATGTTTTATTTACTTAGCACTTATTAATTAATCTAGATTCATAACAATAATGTACGTATTATGTTCTATTGCCTCTCATATGCCAGGGAACTTTGATGCCGGGACGGGCATTCATTTAAAACCTGGTAAACGCATGTTAATACAAAGTTAATTAAACAAATACTAAGGTACGATAAGTAGGCATTTACTGTTATCGTATTTCCAATGAGAAACAATGTAATAAGTTAGTCATCATTGTGTTTGAAGTGTCATATTAGGCAACCTAAGTTGAAACTTTACCTAGGTATATTATGATGCTACATTATTATGCGTAATTATCTAAAAAAACTTGAAACTACTTAATCCACAGATCGTTGTTCTGGGTCTGTGTGTCATGTGTATGTGAACTTGTATTGTTGCGCATACATGTTTGTAAGCGCACCCACGATACAGGAGAAAATCCTAGTGGGGCAAAGTTTTTTTTTAAATTTTCTTGTGTAATAAACTAATAACTGTCGTAAGTCATCCTTAGTTTTTTTATATATAAATAGAGTTAACATGAATAAGTGGTTAAATTCAATTAAAATCACAATTATTATTATAAAAATTACAACCCAAAAATTGCCATGACATGACATGACACGGATTTAAGCAATGAAACCACACCATAGTAACAAAATTATAATTTTTTTTTTACGAAAAAAAAATTCGCTCAAACAGCAGAGGTGCATAAAACATTGTGTGACTAAAAATGTAATTAGCTAGTCGTTTTGGAAAAATCCCCTAATACATTGTACGCTTAGTCATAAGCCCCGCTTGATTTAATGGCTAGTATAATTTGATATTAAGGTCCCTAGTGATGTATAATACATAGGTGTGTTACGCTCTAGTATCTAACTTTACACCTAAATAACTACTAACTTTAAATAACTCCCAAACCCTAATTTGTTATAAGGGTTTTGTTCCTAAATCTTGTTCCTACATTTTGTTGAAGTTACCGGTAATAGTGTATACCTTTAAATGATTTCCTTACTGTTGTAGCACATGGTTTAATGATGAATAAAAAACGATTTGATTAAGGGTGGAACGCTATATAAGAACGACTTATTTTGTAGTAGAATTCAGCTTTGAAAAATGCAATCGTGTCTCCTGATACGGGCAGTCTGTGCCGATGTGATTGCTGTGCAAAGGGATCCTTTTCGATTCGAAGATGAGTACAATTTCCGGATCAACCGTTCAAAGCACCATTTGCAATCCAATTTCTTTCTGAACCTAGTTGCACGGGATT